GGTTAATTGGGGTGATGAGTTATCTCTTGGAGAGCAACAGAGATTGGGAATGGCCAGACTGTTCTACCACAAACCTAAATTTGCAATTCTTGATGAATGCACAAGTGCCGTGACAACTGATATGGAAGAACGTTTTGCTGCTAAGGTTCGAGCCATGGGAACTTCTTGCATAACAATATCCCATCGTCCAGCTCTTGTTGCATTCCATGATGTTGTTCTGTCTTTAGATGGAGAAGGGGGATGGAATGTTCATTACAAGAGGTTGGAATTTTTTCTTAACCATCTTTGTGAGGGTTATCAAAGTTTTCTTTTGCATTTACTTATTTAAAATGACTAAACATTCAGGGACGACTCTGCACCTCTGACGGACGCTGGAGATGATTCCGTGAAAATCTCAGATACAGATCGTCAAAATGATGCGATGGTTGTTCAACGAGCGTTTGCTGCAGCTAGAAAGGTCTTCAACAGCTTACGAAAATTTTATTTTATTTTTAGCTTTCGTTGAAGAGTGCCTTTTGGTGGTTATAACCTTGTTACTTGGTACTATGTAGGAATCTGCCACAACTAATTCAAAGGCTCAGTCGTACTTGACACAGTTAATTGCAAAATCACCACTTGTTGATAAAAGTGTTAGGTTACCTCGCTTTCCTCAACCTCAAACATCCCCAAGGGCGTTACCATTAAGAGTGGCTGCAATGTTAAACACATTGGTGAGCTTGATTATTAGTGTTAATTTTGTTGAAAATACCTGTGCCAATTTTTGTTAACCTAGAAATAAATACATATGCATTTCCTCTTTAGCTTCTTGGAAGGCGAACTATTTGTTCCGCTTGGCTAACTTATTCGTCCCACATTAATGCTAAAAGTAGCTGACCACTTCATTGTTGTGTTATAGATACCCACTCTATTTGACAAACAAGGAGGACAACTGCTTTTGGTTGCTTGCCTTGTGGTCTCAAGAACATTGATCTCTGACCGAATAGCCTCTTTGAATGGTATACTCTGTTCTCTTACCTGATTAGTTTTATTGAGACGGCCCCTTTTCTGACAACCACATGTGATTTTCGCAGGGACCACTGTGAAGTATGTCTTGGAGCAAGATAAGGCAGCCTTCGTCCGTTTGATTGGTTTGAGTGTTCTCCAAAGTAGTGCATCTTCTGTCATTGCTCCTTCATTAAAGTAATCTTTCCTTTTTATGCAAGTTTAAAACCTTATTGTGTTTTTCCATCTTTTTAGTCTTATGGGGTTTTTGTTAGCCTATTCGTCACATATACGGAATCTTTGCTGATATGATTTCACCTAACCTTTTATTTGTTACACTTTTTTAGGTATCTAACGCAAAGGCTAGCATTAGGGTGGAGGATTCGTTTGACTCAACACCTACTACGGAATTACTTGAGAAATAATGCGTTTTACAAGGTCAATTCAGAACTATGATGCTTAAAGATACTATGCTGGGAGGTCTTATTTATGTTTGTGAATTATGACTATGACCTTGAGTTGTTCAGTGCAACTTGACCTAAAGACTAAAATAAAACATGTGTTATTTACACTTATGTAAGAAGTATGCTGATCCACACCAACTTGAAATGGATATTGATTTGTGATTGGTCTACGCTTCTTGTTTGTTCTTCTTGTAAGTTGATATCGCAAATTTAGAGACACTAAAGATCTCGTTGGGGTTATATCTATGCAGGTTTTCCACATGTCAGGCAATAGTATTGATGCGGACCAGAGACTCACACGTGACCTGGAAAAGTTAACCACTGACTTGTCTGGTCTCCTTACTGGAATGGTAAAGCCATCGGTTGACATTCTGTGGTAAGTACATTTTGTTGGATTGGTTTCCTGATGTTTCATGGTTTCTTGGTATGAGTTTTCAAATTTTGTTTTTGTAGGTTCACCTGGAGGATGAAGCTATTGACTGGTCAGAGGGGAGTTGCCATACTTTACACATATATGTTACTTGGTCTGGGTTTCCTGAGACATGTTGCTCCTGATTTTGGTGATCTAGCTGGTGAAGAACAGCAGCTTGAGGGGAAGTTTAGGTAACTCTTTTTACGTTTCTCAAAATTTTCAGATGATTACGTTATAGCGAATATCTGGACCAACTTCTTCCTGCTAATGTAGGTTTATGCACGAGAGACTGAACACTCATGCTGAATCCATTGCATTCTTTGGAGGCGGAGCTCGAGAAAAAGCTGTAAGTGTCTTAAGTTCCCTGGCTATAACTGTTGATTTTTGGGCTAGCTATCTATGGAGCACAGCTACAAGAAGTGAAAGCTAACAAACATTATGGGGAAAATTACTAGTATATGTGATGCTGGACTTTTCATGCCAAATGTGGCTTCACTTGCGTGCCTGGAGCTTTAACCCGTCGTATAGTTGTATCTGCCCTTATCTGTTTTTGTTTTTTATGGACCAGATGGTTGACACAAAGTTCAGGGCACTATTGGACCACTCTCTCATGCTCTTGAAGAAGAAATGGGTGTATGGCATACTTGATGATTTCGTGACTAAGCAACTTCCCAATAATGTGACTTGGGGATTGAGTTTGTTGTATGCTTTAGAACACAAGGGAGATAGAGCACTTGTCTCCACTCAAGGTGAAGATTTGTCACACTCTTCAACGTTGGCCAAATAAGTTTATAATTTCTCTTTATATAACGCTTTCTTGCATGATGTCTTGATATACCAGGTGAATTGGCACATGCATTGCGGTATCTAGCTTCCGTCGTCTCTCAAAGCTTCATGGCGTTTGGTGATATTCTTGAACTACACAAGAAGTTCCTTGAGCTCTCTGGTGGTATTAACAGAATATTCGAGCTCGATGAGTTTTTGGATGCTTCTCAGTCAGGTACGCTCACGCTATAAAGTCTCATATACTTGGGAATTATTGGGCTTAGACATGTGTTATAGAGAATGTATTTACTTTTGGGTTGATCATATTCGTTTTGTCCAACTATATTCAGGTGTTACCTCAGAAAATCGCACAACCCGCTTGGATTCTCAAGATCGAATATCCTTTTCAGAGGTGGATATCATTACCCCTGCGCAGAAATTGATGGCTAGCCAGTTATCATGCCAAATATTTGCAGGGAAAAGCCTGCTCGTCACAGGTTGGTGACTTAATAATATTCGTCACTGAAATTTTTGCATGAATGTAGTAGAGCTAACGCTAGCAAAATATTTTCAGGACCAAATGGTAGTGGAAAGACTTCAGTATTTAGAGTCCTTAGAGATATATGGCCCACTGTATGTGGAAGACTTGCCAAACCCTCATTGGATATCAAAGAACTTGGGTCAGGGAATGGCATCTTCTTTGTCCCGCAGCGACCATATACATGTTTAGGGACGCTGAGAGATCAGATTATATACCCTCTATCTAAAGACGAAGCAGAGAAAAGAGCAACAAAGCTGTACACCAATGGTAAGTAAATAAAAAATCGGATTCTCAAATTATTCCTCACAAATTAAAGAACTGTAGAGTTTATTTGATGATCTTCTCATATAATTTATTGTTTGTGAGTAACAGGAGAAAGCTCAAGTGAAGTTGGTAGCGTTCTGGACGCTCATTTGAAAACCATACTGGAGAATGTTCGGTTAGTATATCTTTTGGAAAGAGATGAAAGTGGTTGGGATGCTACAACCAACTGGGAAGACATATTATCTCTTGGAGAGCAACAGAGGCTTGGCATGGTAAAATCTCTCTCGTAGAGGCAACAACCAGAATTACATATGTTGTTTGATGAAAAATCTGACTTGTTTGGCGTTGTAGGCACGTTTGTTCTTTCACAGACCAAAGTTTGGAATCCTAGATGAATGCACCAAGTAAATGATCAAAAGTCTTCTCCCCCTTTTAGTTTACAATCATCTTTCCCCCTTTTTGCTTAATACGATGATACCGCTCTTTGGTATTGCAGCGCGACGAGTGTTGATGTTGAGGAACAGCTCTACAGGGTTGCGAAAAACATGGGAGTTACTTTCATTACCTCATCACAAGTAAGTGTTTTTTTTTTTTTTTTTTTCTTTCATTCATTATTATGAACACACATAAAAGTTCTTAACAAAATCTCAAAAAACCTCAGCGTCCGGCGTTGATCCCGTTCCATTCATTGGAACTAAGGCTGATTGATGGAGAAGGAAACTGGGAGCTACGTTCTATAGAACAGACGACAGAGTAAAAACTCAGCAAGACAACTTAAAGAAGGTTTCTTCTATATAGTTTTAATAATAAATAACAAAGCTAAAGAAAAAAAGGCATACGACCATATGCAAATGCAAGTAATATCTTTACCACAAAGTCCTCTATATGGTATGATTATTTCTCCTCGACAATGTAGGTAGAATTGAATTGGTGGAGAATCTCCCATGGAGGATGATATGGTGTTTTAGCTTTTAAAGAAACAAAGATAAAAAAAAGATGAAGTGATTTATATACATTGATAGGGCATAAATATTGTACAGTTTGTTTCCATTTCCATGGAGATTTGATATTTTCTTCGTCTTCATCCTTTAGTTATATTATTTAATTAAGTGAACAAAAAATTGCCGAAAATCAGTTTGAATGTTTTTGAATAAGTAAAATAAATTTAAGAAAAAAAAAAAAAAAAAAAAAAAAATAAATTTAAGAAGTAAAAAGCCTTTCACTCACAAGCCATAGCTCATTTTTTTTTAAAAAATGGAGAGAAGGACGCCAGTGAGAAAGCCAAAACACTTCTGAAAGTGAATAAAAAAAAAAAACGACTTCACTGGGGATCGAACCCAGAATCTCTGGTTTCGTAGACCAGCGCCTTATCCATTGGGCCATGAAGTCTTTGTGTTGTCTAGACTACAATGTAAACAAATATATATAAATAATATAAAAAGGTGTGATTTATTGTTTCCTCGTCACCGTCGCTCACCCGCAGTCTCTACCGAAAGATGAATATGATCTTTCTTTATAAAGCCTAAAAGCTGTCTCTTAAAAAAAAAAAATTCTCAAAGAGTAATAGGATAAGATTAGACAAAAGAGAGAGAGAGAGATTATTTTCTTCCTTCAAAGAAGTTTCAGTTTGAGCCTATGTATGGCATATTAGGTAGATGATCCACCAGCTATAACAAAGAGAGAGAAAGAGAGAGAGCTGAGCCCAGTTCTGTGGTTTAGATTCATCATCAAAAAAGAATCTGAAAGTTTTAATCTTTTTACTTAAAATAGAAATAGTTTTCTTAAAAATAGGAGTAGGGAGGAGGGATCAATGGGGAAACACAAATCATTGAGAAGCAAAGCAGTTCACTTTGTCACCGATCTCACCACCGGTCTCCTTAATCCCATCTCTGATAAACCTTCCTCTGCTCCTCCTCCTCCTCCACCGGTATCCATCCAAATTTTCTCATTTTTTTTTCTTTCTTTTTTGTCTTTTTTTGTTGTTCTTGAATGTTGACTTAGTCCATGTTTGTCTTTGGGTTTGACATTAGAGAGTCTTTTCTTTGTTGAAGGCTTTTACTTTGGCTTTAATTGTGTAATAGATAATAATAATGCTTAGTTGCTTGAGACATTTGAGTATTTCTGTTTGTGTGATCATTTCAATGATAACATGTGATGGTGGTCTAGTGGAAGGCGAGCTAGCAACCTGGGTTCGAAACCACCCCACTACACCTCTCGGCGACGCGGATATGAGTCTATTGTTTAGGATCATTTAGATTAATAAATAATAAAAAAGAGGTGGTCATTTCAATGAGTTTCTTGATTATTCTTTTTTTTTTTTGAATATGGGTTTAACTAGGAAGAGGAAGATGAGTCACAGAGGGATCAACTAGAGTCAATCACTAAAGAGCAGTCCAAGGATTTGGTAGACGAACCAGACACTTCTTCTTTCTCTGCATTCCTTGGCTCACTCTTATCCTCACACCCCAAGGACAAACAAACCATCCAGGATCAAGAAGACAAAGAAGAAGAAGAAGATTCAGAGGCTGAAACAAGTGATACATCTTCATCATCATCCTCAGAGCACACTAGTACAATGAAGGAAACTGTTGCTACAACTACTACTACAAAGAAGAGCTTGTTCTCTAAATATAAGCAGCATTTGAAGAATTTTTACCAGGCTGTTAAGTTCTCAAAGGAGAGAAAGGGAAATGCTGCTGAGGTTAAAACTGATGATGAAGAGACTACTCAATGTGATGGCTTGGAGATGAAGCAGGTGATGATGCAGAAAAAAGAGGAAGTACAAGCAATTATTATACCTGAAACTTCGGAGCCTTCTTTACTATTAACGGACCAGTCAAGACGTTCCCTTTATACTTCACTTCCTGCTCTTGTTCAAGGCAGGAAATGGATTTTGCTTTATAGGTAGAGATAACAACTCACTTTTACAAAAGCATCTCAAAGTGTGTATGTGTGTGTGTGAATATTTGGTTTGATGTGGTTTTTTTTTTTTGGCAGTACATGGAGGCATGGTATATCATTATCAACATTGTACAGGAAAAGCCTCCTCTGGCCTGGTCTCAGTTTACTGGTAATTAAAATTTAAAATGCGGTTTATAATTGTGGACCTTTTATGAAGATATTTATAGCAAACCAATGGTGTTTTCAGGTTGTTGGAGATAGAAAGGGTTCGGTTTTTGGTGGACTTGTCGAGGCACCTTTGATACCAACAGATAAGAAGTATCAGGTTTGGTTCCAAATGAACCAATCTTGTATTAGATTTTCCGTTTCTTTTAAAATCTCTTGTTGATGTTTTTTGTCTCTGTGTTGTTGTGTTGTGTCAGGGAACCAACAGTACATTTGTTTTCACTGATAAGTCTGGACAACCCACTATATACCGTCCCACAGGTATTGCTCTCAGTAACATAGAGCTTCTTGTAGTCTTTTACTTATTCACTTTTGATACTTTGAGCAGGAGCAAATAGGTTTTACACATTATGCTCTAAGGACTTTCTGGCTCTCGGTGGTGGTGGACGGTTTGCTCTCTATCTAGACAGTGAGCTGTAAGATCTCGTATCATCTTCATATCTCCACAACAAACCATGTTCCCTCAATATGTTTGATTCATTGTGTGTTCTTTTAATAGGCTAAGCGGATCAAGTGCTTACTCGGAGACATACGGGAACACTTGTCTTGCAACCTCTCAGGACTTTGATGTTAAGGAAGTGGAGGTACTATTCCACATTAACTCTCTCCTTTTGTTTCAACCTTTTTTTACTGAAGACAAAACAATAAAATACTATTGATAATGTTTTGCAGCTGTGGGGATTTGTGTATGGCTCAAAGTATGATGAGATTCTAGCTCTCAGCAAAACTACAGAGTCTGGTGTATGCAGGTGGGGATGATCATGATGAATGAATGAAGATTATGCAATGGTATTAAAAAAAAGTGAGTGATCTCTTTTGTAAATGTGTAGCTATATAAAATGTTGTGTTCTTATCTTATTATGGTAATATTCACATCTCAAATACAACTCACTTGTAACCAAGAAACTTTTTTTTCTTGTTGTTGTAATGATTTTGGAATGAAATATGAATCTAATTAAGCCTATTAATGCATAGCTTAGTTTTGCCTGTTAAATATGGCATTATACTAAGTTTAACTATAAAATTAGTTGATGAGTTATAAAATCATATTTAAAATATCAAAAAACCATCAGTTTGCATTATTCTTTGATTTAAGATATTTAAATAATTTAGATTGATTTAAATCAATTGAAACTATTTTATTATAAAGATCTTTGATGACTTAGAAAATTCTATTTGAAAAAAAAAAATTACGACTGATGTTATACTTCAATGTTTAGCGCTTGTGTTGGTGTTGTTGCGTTCCTAGATTCGAATTATAGAGATATTTAATGTTATAGGTCTTGTCTCCATAATATCAATGTTTATTCTTAGATCTGGGAGATTATGAGCTTTGTCCACGGAATCTCTAGATAAGAAAAAAATTGATTTAAATCATTTTAAACTATTTTAACTACTATATTTTAAAAAATCATTTTTATTATAACTAATTTGTCCGATTTTTATAATATTAATACCTTATAATAAAATATCAAAATCAATTGTTAAAAAGTTAAATCAGCCCACTAAGTCATATTTTCATAGCGGATACAACTTCGTTTGGGCCCATTAAGGTAAATGCAAAAGACAGGAACACGAAGAACCCTTTCACTTCACCATTCTAAACCCTATCAGTGAAGAAAGAAACCTTCCGATTTCCAAAACTGTACCAAAATGGGAGGACGCGCGGTACACTTCGCAAACCTCCCGATAAAGCTCCTAATGCCACCAAAGCTCACAAACATCCACGAGTTCTCTCTCAAAACGATCCCATCAGCGACCAAGATCGAGATCAAGCGCGTCCTGGAGACTCTCTACGGGTTCGAGATCGAGAAGGTGAACACTTTGAACATGGACGGGAAGAAGAAGAAGCGCGGCGGGCTGTTGATAGCCAAAGCTGACTACAAGAAGGCTTACGTCACTCTGAAACGGCCTCTCTCGATCTCTAGCGATCTTTTTCCGGTGAAGTTTGTGGAGGAAGATGGGAAGAGTAAGTTGAAAGGGTGTGGGTTTGTGGAGGAGGAAGGTGATGATGAGAAGAGTCATTGGCTTGATCAGAAGGAGAAGAGGGAGGTTGGTGGTTACGGTAGTGGTAAAAGGGTGAAATCGCCGGCGAGAGGTGGTGGTGCTATGGCGGCGGCGGGGGCGGGGGAGAAGTTTCCGTGGAGTAATATGAGGTTTGGTGGGAAGTGAGGGGTTTTCGGTAATTTCAGTTAGGGTTTATGACCAAATTGTTAGTTTTTTTTTTTTTGTCTTTTAGCTGTCGGATTATTGTGGACTATGTTGTTTCTGTTGAGCTCTCGGTGAGTTTCTGTGACTTTTTGCAAATAAAGTGGTAATCTTAATCTTTATCTAGGTAATGATTATGGAACACATTAGCTCGCAAGGGATTAAGACAAGTTTTGTCCTTAACTACAATATATGTAAGAAGAATGAAGCAGTGTATACTGTGCAGTGGCATGAAGCAGTGTATACTGTGCAGTGGCATGAAGCAGTGTATACTGTGCAGTGGCGGATGTAGAGAAGGGGTTAGGTGGGCAGGTGCCCCATATGAATTGTTGGAAAACAAATATTTCCATTAATTTTTTTTGAATTTTTTTTGAGTAAATGTTAAAATATCTTCTAATGCTCCTTATGTTTAGGTTTAAACTTTATATTGCCCCTGATGAACCTTTGGGTTGACTCCGCCACTGATACTGTGTATGATTCCTATTAGTCAATGGCGTTATTGTTTTTGTCTGTGGAGTTAAGAGTTTCTGTTCTGAATCACGTAAGAATGTAAACGCAGATATGTGAAAACTCTTGTAAATCATAAAAATCATTTTTGTCTAAATATTTGTCTTTGGAATTATGATGCAATAATTTTTTTTTTTAATAATTTGGTGTATCTTGGCATCCACCAAGGTGGATATAGACTAGCGGCGAGTGTCCATATCAGTCTATGTTATCGGTTGGAGTACGCCTCAGTCACCTGACGCTGGAAAAACCCAAATTTTAAATTTTATCCCTATGACCAGCGGAATTTGAAATTTGTATTGGGGCCGAAGCTCCCTCAGGATCATTAAGATCGGAATTATGATGCAACAACAACAACAGATGATAAACGAAGATTTGATTATAAACCCCACTAAATGACATTAGAACGTGTTAGAGATAATAGAGAAGTTATGTCACGTCACACGCTTATATATATGAATAGTCAGCGGACGTAGTTGAATATTAGGTGGTTACGTTACATATGATATTGGCGCGTGGCGAAAGGAGCTTCATTGAGCTTTGTTGTTGTACACGACCGAGTCATCGTCGTCGTGCTCGCCTTCTCTTTCTTTCTTCTTGTTCAAGAAGCCTTAAGAAGAAATAAAACTTTCTTCAAAAATTCGGATCTTCCTTTCATCTGAGCAATCGAGAAGATGGCGGCGTTGGCAAAGTTTAAGTTGGTGTTCTTAGGAGATCAATCTGTGGGCAAAACAAGCATCATCACACGTTTCATGTATGATAAATTCGACACCTCTTACCAGGTTCTACTCTCTAACCCTTCATTGTTGATCGGTTTCATTTCACTCTGTTCTTGATTTCTTGGAAACTCTGTCTTGAATTAGTCAAATTTTAAAGAAATAAAATATTGCCCTTATGATCTAATCTGTTATTGTTATATGATCTGATTGTCTTATTATTATGATATCACGATTCATGCTCATGTTTCGTTGTTTTTGATGTAACCTCTTGTTATTAAGCTTTTAATTGTGTGTTGTGTTTTATTCTCTTGACTGCAGCCTACCATTGGGATCGATTTTCTGTCCAAAACAATGTACCTGGAAGATCGAACAGTTCGTTTACAGCTTTGGTGAGAGACCAAAAATATATTTGCTCTGCTAAAATTTGGCACAACAAATAAGAATCTCATTTATGTTTTTTGCTAGATTTCAAAGACTAACACATGGATTTTTTTTATTTTTTTATTTTTTAGGGATACGGCTGGACAAGAAAGATTCAGGAGTCTTATCCCTAGTTACATAAGAGACTCTTCTGTTGCAATTGTTGTCTATGATGTAGCCAGTGAGTGAATAGCTTTTCTTTACTTCTTTAATTCATACTATGTTGTTGTTTGTGTGTCATGTGTTCACAACTTGTGTGTTTTGTTATTTACAGATAGGCAAACGTTTTTGAATATTTCGAAATGGATAGATGATGTACACAGAGAAAGAGGTGGTTCAGGGGACGTTATTATTGTCCTTGTTGGTAACAAAACTGATCTTGTTGATAAAAGGTAAAATACAGAGAGAAAAACAGCTTTTGTGGGCTTATTTGCAAATCATAACATGCGTCTTCTTTTTGTAATGAAAAAAAACAGACAAGTATCGATCAGTGAAGGGGAAGAAAAGGCTAATGAGCATGGAGTGATGTTCATTGAGACTAGTGCCAAAGAAAATTTTAACATTAAGGTTATTACTAAAAAAAAGACTTGAGTGTGTTTTATTATCTTTTATTGTTTGATTTCTGTGACACAACATGAGTCATTTTTTGGCAGGCTTTGTTCCGGAAGATAGCTGTAGCATTGCCTGGGATGGATTCATATTCATCAGCAACAAAATCAGAGGATATGGTTGATGTGAACCTAAAGAACACTTCAAATTCATCACAAGGTGATCAACAAGGAGGTGGTGGTGGAGGCGGCTGTTCTTGTTGATTCAATCAATTAAAAAGAAAAAAAAAATTCCGTTTAAGACACTTGTGAAGCCAAGAAAACAAAAACAAAAAGGATCAAGAAAGTTTTATTTTGTGATTTTTGATTTTTTATCATACATACGGTATATTACAATTTACAAACATAGATTTGGTGCATCATGACATCATCTCTCGGAGATACCTTTTTCTGCAACATAAATTTCAGTTCATAACACACATAAGGTAAAAGCCTATAAGTATCAATTTTACACAAATATTGTTGTCTTTCTTTACCTGTGGTCAAGCTTGCTTGTCTCTGATATACCTTTTGCATATGCTGTAAAATACATAGTAGAGGCTTTAGGATATGATTAATAAAAATTCAATTTCTTAGAAATATTTCTAAAAACTCAATATTTCGTAGTGGTAAACCTACAGTTTTTCGGAAAAAAACCAAAAAATTGATTTTTTTTTATAAATAATTGCATCATGCAATGAAATATAATGATGTTCAAATATGTGTGGAACCTATATTATCTTTGTTTCTCTAGACAATATATATTTCATAATGGCATTGATTTAAGCGATATATGAAGTTTTATTATATTAATTGTTAGAAAACTAGAATTGACACCCTTTTAGCATGAAAGAAAATTTAGCATACATTCATATAAATGTAGGATATGGTTATGAATTTTTGTACAACACTTAAGAGTATAAAATTCAATAAATTGATAATTTAATGAAAAATCATTATTTCTGTACGGGTTAACCCATAAATGTTGACAATAAATCAAATATATGGTAATCTTATTTAAATGCATATTTGCATCGTGTACTGATGTATGATGATTTTCAAAAAGGTTTGGAACATTTCTTCCTTTGTTTCTCTAGAGAACAATTTCATAAACGTTGTCTAGTGATTTAGATAGTATATGAAATATTTTTTAAAGAAATTATTAAGAAAATTAGAAGGATGACCATGTATAATGAAAGAGAGTTTATGATACATTAATATATATGTAGAATGAGTTCATACATTTTAAATAACTCTAGAAAGTGTAAATTAAATTTATTGGAAATATTTCTAAAAACTTAATATTTCATAGTGGTTAACCAACAGTTTTAGCAAAAAAATTCAAAATATTTTTAATAAATAATTGCATCATGCAATGACATATAATGATGTTAAAATATGTGTGGAACCTTTATTATCTTTGTTTCTCTAGAGAATATATATTTCATTGTGGTTAGTCCATAGATTTAGGCGGTATATGAAGTTTTATTAAATTAATTGTTAGAAATTTAGAATTGACACCCTCTTAGCATGAAAGAAAGTTTAGCATACATTAATATAAATTTAGAATATGGTTACGAATTTTTAGGTAACACTTAAGAGTATAAACTTCAATATATTGATAATTTAATAAAAAAATCATTATTTCCATAGGGGTTAATCCATAAATTTTGAGAATAAACAAAAAAATATGGTAATCTTATTTAAACACATATTTGCATCGTGTACTGTCGTATGATAATTTTTAAAAAGGTTTGGAACATTTTATTTTTTTTGTTTCTCTAGAGAATTGAGATTTCATAGACGTTAGTCTACTGATTTAGATAGTATATAACATTTTATAAAAGAAATTGTTAAAAAATTAGAAGGATGACCATGTAGAATGAAAGAGAGTTTATGATACATTAATATATATGTAGAATGAGTTCATAAATTTTAAATAACTCTAGAAAGTATAAAATTCAATTTATTGGAAATATTTCTAAAAACTCAATATTTCATAGTGGTTAAACTACAGTTTTTCAAAAAAATCAAAAAATTGATTTTTTTTTTATAAATAATTGCATCATGCAATGAGATATAATTATATTCAAATATGTGTGGAACCTTTATTATATTTGTTTCTCTAGAGAATATATATTCCATAGTGTTTAATTCATTGATTAGGCGGTATATGAAGTTTTATTAAATTAATTGTTAGAAAATTAGAATTGACACTCTTTTAGCATGAAAGAAAGTTTAGGATACATTAATATAAATTTAGGATATGGTTACGAATTTTTAGGCAACACTTAAGAGTATAAACTTCAATATATTGATAATTTAAGAAAAAAATCATTATTTCCGTAGGGGTTGTTAACCCATAAATTTTGAGAAAAAATCAAAAATTTGGTAATCTTATTTAAATGCATATTTGCATCATGTACTGACGTATGATAATTTTCAAAAAGGTTTGGAACATTTTCTTCCTTTGTTTTTCTAGAGAACTGAGATTTCATAGACGTTAGTCTAGTGATTTAGATAGTATATAAAATTTTATTAAAGAAATTGTTAAAAAATTAGAAAGATGACCATGTACAATGAAGGAGAGTTTATGATACATGAACATATATGTAGAATGAGTTCATAAATTTCAAATAACTCTAGAAAGCCCAAATATTTCACGAAAAATTAGAAAATATGAAAATTTTATTTTAATGCACATTTGCATCATTCAGTGACATAGTATGAAGGTTAAAGAGGTTTGAGTCTTTAGGTGTTCATGTTTCTTCAGAAAATAGAGTTTTTGTAGTGGGTTTGTCCAGTGATTAAGTGGTATATGAATTTTAAATAAATAACCTGTTCAAAAATTAGAAATGATGTCCATGTACCATGAAAATATAACATACATTAATACAAATTTAGAATGTGATTAGGTAATTATTTATCAACAATGAAGAGCCTAAACTTCTGAATATAGCATTTTTTGAAAAACTTGATTTTTTGTAGGGTTGTTAGCCCACATATTTCAGGAAAAATTAGAAAATATGAATTTTTTTTTAATGCATATTTGCATCATTCAGTGACATAGTATGAAGGTTAAATAGGTTTGAGACCTTAGGTGTTCATGTTTCTCCAGAAAATAGAGTTTTTGTAGGGGGTTTGTACACTAATTAAGTGGTATATGAATTTTAAATAAATAACCTATTAGAAAGTTAGAAATGATGTCCATGTACCATGAAAATAATTTTAACACACATTAATACAAACTTAAAATGTGATCAGGTAATTATTTATCAAAAATGAAGAGCCTAAACTTCTGAATATAGCATTTATCAAAAAACTCGATTTTTTTCGTAGGGGTTAGTTAGCCCACATATTTCAGGAAAAATTAAAAAATATGAAAATTTTGTTTTAATGCATATTTGCATCATTCAGTGATATAGTATAAAGGTTAAAGAGGTTTGTGTCTTTCGGTCTTCATTTTTCTTCAGAAAATAGAGTTTTTGTAGTAGGTTTGTCCACTGATTAAGTGGTATATGAATTTTAAATACATAACCTGTTCAAAAATTAGAAATGATGTCTTTGTACCATGAAAATAATTTTAACCAACATATATACAAACTTAGAATGTGATTAGGTAATTATTTATGAACAATTAAGAGCCTAAACTTCTGAATATTGCATTTTTCGAAAAACTTGATTTTTTCGTAGGGTTGTTAGCCCACATATTTCAGGTAAAATTAGAAAATATAATTTTTTTTGTTTTAATGCATATCTGCATCATTTAGTGACATAGTATGAAGGTTAAATAGGTTTGGGACCTTAGGTGTTCATGTTTTCCAGAAAATAGAGTTTTTGTAGGGGGTTTGTCCACTACTTAAGTGGTATATGAATTTTAAATAAATAACCTATTAGAAAGTTAGAAATGATGTCCATGTACCATGAAACTAATTTTAACACACATTAATACAAACTTAGAATGTGAATAGGTAATTATTTATCGACAATGAAGAGCCCACATATTTCGGGAAAAATAAAAAATATGAAAATTTTGTTTTAATGCATATTTGCATCATTCAGTGACATAGTTTAAAGGTTGAAGAGGTTTGGGTCTTTCGGTGTTCATGTTTCTTCAGAAATTAGAGTTTTTGTAGTGGATTTGTCCACTGATTAAGTGGTATATGAATTTTAAATACAAAACCTTTTCAAAAATTAGAAATGATGTCCATGTACCATGAAAATAATTTTAACCAACATATATAAAAACTTATAATGTGATTAGGTAATTATTTATGAACAATTAAGAGCCTAAACTTCTGAATATAGCATTTTTCGAAAACTTGATTTTTTCATAGGGTTGTTAGCCCACATATTTCGGGTAAAATTAGAAAATAATTTTTTTTTGTTTTAATGCATATTTGCATCATTCAGTGACATAGTATGGAGGTTAAATAGGTTTGGGACCTTAGGTGTTCATATTTCTTCAGATAATAGAGTTTTTGTAGGGGGTTTGTCCACTAATTAAGTTGTATATGAATTTTAAATAAATAACCTAGTAGAAAATTAGAAATGATGTCTATGTACCATGAAACTAATTTTAACCAACATATATACAAAAATAGAATGTGATTAGGTAATTATTTATGAACAATTAAGAGCCTAAACTTTTGAATATAGCATTTTTCGAAAAACTTGATTTTTTCGTAGGGTTGTTAGCCCACATATTTTTGGTAAAATTAGAAAATATGAAATTTTTGTTTTAATGCATATTTTCATCATTCAGTGACATAGTATGAAGGTTAAATAGGTTTGGGACCTTAGTTGTTCATGTTTCTCCAGAAAATAGTGTTTTTGTAGGGGGTTTGTCCACTAATTAAGTGGTATATGAATTTTAAATAAATAACATATAAGAAAGTTAGAAATGATGTCCATGTACCATGAAACTAATTTTAACACACATTAATACAAACTTAGAATGTGATTAGGTAATTATTTATCGACAATGAAGAGCCCACATATTTTGGGAAAAATTAAAAAATATGAAAATTTTGTTTTAATGCATATTTGCATCTTTCAGTGACATAGTATAAATGTTAAAGAGGTTTGGGTCTTTCGGTGTTCATGTTTCTTCAGAAATAGAGTTTTTGTAGTGGGTTTGTCCATTGATTAAATGGTATATGAATTTTAAATAAATAACCTGTTCAAAAATTAGAAATGATGTCCATGTACCATGAAAATAATTTTAGCGTACATTAATAGAAATTTAGAATGTGATTAAGTAATTATATATCAACAATGCAGAGCCTAAACTTCTGAATATAGCATTTTTTCGAAAAACTTGATTTTTTGGTAGGGTTGTTAGCCCACATATTTCGGGAAAATTAAAAAATATAAAATTTTTGTTTAATGCATATTTACATCATTCAATGACATATTATTAATGTTAAAGAGGTTTGGGACCTTAGGTGTTCATGTTTCTTCAGAAAATAGA